GCTTTAATTTCAGCCATTGTGATTGGAATATTTCCCAAAGTGCGGGTAAAACCAATCACACCCAATCCCCATTTGAATCCCTTGGTAGTCCACACACCATATGATGATTACTATATAATGATTACTACATTCGTATTGTGATAAAATTTGAAATAAAATTTGACTAGCATCGAGGGACGGTCAATACACTCCAAATCTTTTCAGAATTCGGGCTAAAAAAAAACTTTTGAATATTTTTTATTTTTAAATTACAAAAAAAATTAAAACTGTTTAAATGAATTGAACAATTTAGGACTGAGTCAAAATAATTCATGTCTCTCCCATTCAAAAGAAAAACGTATACAAGAATAAGCTTCTACTTTAGTTCCCACTAATGGAATTGGCAAGCGCCGTAAGAGTAATTAGCTGTTTATCTTCTGCATGTGTTGGTCTATATATATATATATATATATATGATTGTTTTCATATCAATTGTAAATTTCAGGACTCCAAAAACAGTCATGAATAAATTTTTAAAATTCATGTATAAATGTGTAGGCTTGATCCAAAAATTTATTAAGTTCTCTTGTTATTATTATTTTAAATGTAATTTATTATGTATATAACTAGGCCTTTTTTTATATGTAAATCCATGTCTACCTTTTAAAAATTATTAAGATATATTTCTCAAAATATTCAAATCAATACTCCTGATTAGAACAGAACACTCCCTATGCACGTTGTCATCTCTGAAAATTTAAATATTATATGACAGAATTTGTAGCTGTTGTTTGATTAAATTAAACAGTTGTTATTGTGATGTACTCATTGAATGAGTGAATTTAAGCCATTTATTATATTTAAATCTCCATAACTAGTTTGTCTTTTGGGCATTAATTCCTTGAAGCCTGAGAGTTTTATTTTAAACTTGCGTAGTCACAAAAAATGTTTATATAATTAATTTGGTATTCATATAAGAAAGCATAAATCCTTTAAGTCCAAAATATAAATAACTAGATGTAGCTTTTAGCTTCATTGGTAAACTAAAAAGAACTTTATTTATGTTCACTTCTGCGGTTTAGTGTTCAGATGTTACAGCCAAACTTGATAATAATAGCTTGTGTTTCAAGTGTTCAGGTATTACCAATTAAAAAATGTATTATTAATTTATGAGGTTAATTTTACACTCATATTGCTCTCTCCAGTTTGATACTCCTTCGAATCATATATATCCTTTATTAAATAAATCGTATTTAAAAATACTTTCTCCTCACGTGTAGCATTTTATTCTACTTATAGAAAATTGTAAAAGGGTAAAATTAAAAGAAAATAATTAATGATTTATTTATTCACAGTGACTTCTAAAAATATTGATAATTTTTCTTCAAGTGCTTTTTATATAAGATCATAGGGAATATAAATTAATCAAAATTTAAGGAGGTGACTTCACACACTATTATGGCCATGTTATTGACTTGTTAGACCAAGACCTTCTGGGCTTTTTGGTTTCTGATGTATGACAAACACTCAAACATCTATGTGAATTGATTGGGACGAATTGTTATAAGCCACACAATATTCGATTGGATTAAATTTGGTCAAATAGATTTATGTTTCTTTGTTAGTATTAGGATTATCCTCTATTGATAGTAGAGATTAGGGCTATGCCAAAAGCTTGAAAATCTTAAATGCCTAACCCTACTTGATAGTTTTTGGCCTTGCCCATGCCTAAAATAAGCTATCCAAAAATAAATGGGTATGGTCAGCCTAAGCTTAAACCTCAGATTGGGCAGAGTTTAGGGTTAGGATATCCAATCGGTTAGCCTGCTTGATTTGAGGGTATATATTTTTTTTTAAAAAAATTTAAATAGTGTTGTTTTGTTGGTTGGAAGTGGAAAGTGACAATTGAAATCAAACCTTAGCTCCCTCTCACTCCTCACCCCTTTAGTCTTTCACTCTTCTCCTCAATTATCTCAGCAGTCTCTCTTTCCTCCTCACAAGTAGTGAGCACTTGTAGTCTCCATAATCACACTACCACTCTGTCCGCCACTTAAGACTCAATAGCATCTTTCCTCTCTTCGTCAGTTAATCACTCACATTCAAAGTTGATCACCCTCCACTCTCCTCCCTTGCAGTCGACTATCGAATCATTTCCTCTTCTCTTCTCAATCATTCACCCAAGAAATACTTTTTTAGGAGGCCAATATTATGTTCAAGTCCAACAAACAATATCCAAAAGAATGAGCAAGCCTAGACATTCAACTTAACTTGTTGATTTATGCCTAGCCTTGCCCACCTAGCCCTTACATTAATGGGCATCTTTTGGGTAAGGTTAGGCTTTAGGCAAGGTTTTTGTACTTGAAGAAAATTAGGATAGGGCAATGGGCTAGGGATTTGTCCTACCCAACCCTACCCATGCACATGGTAAAAATTATCTATCTCGAGGTGCTAATTAATAAAGGCAAATAATAAGACTTCCAATTAAGTTATTACATAAACATGAGTTGAAATATGAATTCGTAATCACTTGTTTGAGTGACAAAGAACTCATACTTTTCTCATTGATTAAGTTGAGCAAATAAGAATAGATGTTTGTTTTGTTCATATGAATTAGGTGAATTCAACATACCTTACATAAACGTTGAAAATGAATCACATGCTCAAACACTGTGAATGTTGTAATTTATGCTATACATTTCATGTTAATTAACATTGAAATTGATGACATTGATATTAATATTAATGTTTTTAATAATGATAGACTTATTGAAGATTTTTTAAGAAAAAGGGGAATTAATCAGTGTCAAATTTATTAGGATAGTTTTTAAAGAAACGATAAAAATACCACATATATTGATGCTATGTAGTATGAATACTTAAGAAAAGGTGAACGCACTTGTATTAAATAGGTACATGACGCTATATGTCATACTTAATTTTCAAGCTAGTAGAAAACTTTGTTAGTAAATATTTTTATAAGTACTTTTTAAACTGAAAGATATGTCTTAGTCTTAACTACTAGTTGGAATACAACTTGCCCAAACTTTTCATTATAAAACAAAAGAAAAAAGAAAACTTCCATACTTTTTTTATTTTGTTGGATTGTTATGGACATTTTTTAAGATTAACCCAAGTATCCAATATGATGAGAAGGAAATCAAATTCTAAAAGAACTTGAGATAGGATAAGACTGCATAATCAATGATAGAATTCACTAAATCAAAAAATATGAATGAAAGATAAGATATTGTAGATTTAACAAATATATCTTCTAATAGATTACAACCATCCTTTTGCCACACTTTTGAGAAAAAAATATGAAAAATCATTGGATGATTTTTTTCCTTTTTCAATAAAAGAGAATGAATAAATAAAAAAAACACATAGATGGAAGATGGAAGAATAGTTTATATAGAATGAAAGATGGACAAATGAATAGATGAGGATAAATGTGAAGATGGAGTGGTATAGGAGGATACAACTTGTTAGAGGAAAGTAGGCTATGCAAATAACAACACCTGACCATTCCCTGTTAGCAGTGACATTGGATTGGCATTGCAGATAATGATGTGGTTGGATGTGATGGACCAACATGAATGGTGGTAGCATTGGATCGGTATCAAATGACGTCGACAACAACAAACTAGCATCGAGTGGTGGAAGAGGGTAATCCTAATTAACAATAGTGATTCAATCCCAATCAAAGTTGGCTGTATGGTCCCAGTCAAAGCTAATCATCTTGTCTTAGTTGGCGTTGGTAGTCTGGTCTTGGGCATCGCTGGCAATCCAATTCCCATCAATGTTGACCATCAAGTCCCTATCGACAACAGTAGTCTGGTCTTGATGATGTCAGTTGGAGGTAGTGATGTTCAAGTCAAGAGTGTAGCAAAGTCAATGAACTAATGAAATGAAGGGAGAAGCTTCCATAAAAATGTGAAATAATAAAAGTTTATAAATGATTTAAAATTAGAAAAGGATTGAGTTAAGATTTGAATTTAGATTTGAGTCAAATCTAAATTCACGCATTTTTAATTACCTAAATAATAAATTTAGTTCAAATTCAAATCTATTCAAACACAACACGAGTAAATATCCAAATGATTTGGAAAAAAAATATTTGAGTGAAAATATTTTTTAACCTATTTATTGATTACCCTATACTTTAATAATATATCAAAAATAAAAATACATTAAAAATTAAATGAAATCATGTCTATGAGTCTATTTCATGAAGTATAAGCGATTATTTTATAATTTATGAGCAATGCGATTACGAATTTTTACAAGAATGGAAGACATACACACGTATATAAATATATCAATGCTAGGTAGGTTTAAATTTAAAATCTCTTCTTAACAAGAGAGGTGACAATGTCATTAGAATAATTTATCCTTTGACACTACAATGTTGGTTGTATTTTACCTCTCAAGATGCTAAAAATATTTCATTGTTCTTTGACATGGGTGGACCCTTGTATTATGTGAAATTTCAGAAACAATTTTATGATATTTATAATTTGTTTAACGGTACTAAAATTTATTTTTATATTTTACATTGATGATAAGGATATTTCAACACAGTAATCACACAAAATTAGAATTGTAACTTGAATAACCTCCTCTATATTTGCAAAGGATACCAATTTTTCTAATAAAAAAGTAAATTTAAAAGGAAAAAATAATATAAAAAACCAAATTTAATCTCCATGATAAGCCCATGAAATTTTAATTTGAAAGTTCTGAGTTCAAATGACAAGAAATAGCGTTGCAAATTATAATTTTACAATATATATATATATATATAATTAATAATTGATGATACATTGATTGTAAAATTATTAAATTTGGATCTAATCAACTGTACCTATCTAAAATTTAAATCTTTCCTTTTTAAAAGGTCCCGGAATTGAATTTCTCGTCATTATATTCTAAAAATTGATTGTAAGAATAAAAATCAAAATAGGAAAACTCGTAAAGCACAATAAATATAGAGTCAAAATCTGATTCATGTTTTTGGCCCAATCAAACGGAAAAAAAAACAAACAAACAGTGAAAGTTGACTGCTGCAAGCAAAGAGAGAACACAAGAAGCGAATTCTTTCTCCTAATGCCTTTCCACCTTCACCAGAAGTTGCTTCATCTATCTTTTTGAAGGTTTTGGGGTTGAATTGAAGCGTTTGGATCAATATATCGTTGTTTAATGTTGCATTTTGTTTCGCTTCTTGCGTAATGAGTTTCGTTTTTCTGAGAAGCAACCGATAAAATTTTCGCACGTTTGGCCCAAAATCTTGCGCAAAGGAGGTAGATTTTCCAAAATTCCTGTCGCACATGGAAGGTATAGACGTACAGTATTTTCTCCTTTTAACGTTGTTCGTATAGGAGATTTGGGTTTTTCATTTGTTGGTTGATTGTGTCAAATTGCTTCAAATTTTGAATACTGAGTGGCTTGTTTGGGTTTGAGGTAGTGGATTTTTTGCATTCCTTCAGAGTTAGTTGTAATGGTGAATATGGCATCTGGCTTTGAATTGTGGGTATTCGGTTTCTGAGAAAGTGGGTCAAAGTGAAGGAAAATCGGGGTTTATGTCTTAGTCATAATTTTGTATTGTTTTAGTGGTATCAAATTGCACCATTTAGATGATGAAAATGTATTACTTAAGATCTTCAAATCTTTTTCTCTACTACATTTAGCCAATAACTCAAATGCGGAACAAGTTTTGCTGTAAATGACCATAACACTGTTGTCTACGATTGGATCTACTCATTGAGTTGCATCACATGTGTTTTTTTCAAAGGCAAAGAGGATTACTCTCAATTTTTCACCTTTCGGGGTGAAAATTGCCGTTTTGACATTTTTCTTCATACTTCAAGGCTCATTATTTATGAATGAAGGGTGTTTTTCTGAACTTATTTAGGTCATACCTTGTTATGATTTTCTTTGTTCATACTTGCGGGGGAAAAAAACTTTTCCCTCTATTCTATGAAAGGCTGTCTGGGATTGAGCGGGTTATTCTCAGTTTTTGATGTATGAAAGATTGTTATTGAAACCCTTGTGTGTTTGAAGAGTGAATAATCATATCGAAGATAGTGTTTAGTGGATTAGAATATCTTCATCACTGTCATACAGGTTAAATTATGCTGTCATCTTTGTGATTTAATAATATTTGTGGATCAATTCTGGTGGTTTACGAGATATTAGATTTTTCTTGCTTGATGTGATTATTATATCTTTTCTAAGACATGCAACTAACTTTTGCTTTCATATTGATGTTTAGAATCAGACAAATTACAATCAGAAGAGAATAAAATCTCTATGGAGAAACATAAGAAGAGAAAACTCAAAACACCTACTCAGGTTTATGCTTTGGAGAAATTTTATATCGGTAGGACTTTGATGTAGGATTACTTCTATTGTCATATGGTTTTAATGCATCCTTCAAAGTGCTAACTCTTGAGGAACAATTTTTGTTTTTTTTGCTTTTCAGAGCACAAATATCCCACTGAGGAAATGAAATTAGAACTTGCTGAGGAGTTGGGCTTGACAGAAAAACAAGTATCTGGATGGTTTTGCCATCGAAGGCTAAAAGATAAAAGATTGTTGAAAGATGAAGCTTGTGCTAATGGGCGACAAGATATTTTAAGTGGAGTCATCCAAGATCATGTCAGTGGGCTAGGGCAAGATTCATGTGGAAGCACCAAACATGGTGATTATAGGCATCTTGATCCCAAAGAGGTTGAAAGTCATGGCCTTCATGTGGGTCATGACCTTTTAGTTTCAGATGTGGCCTATGAACGTAGAAATCATTATTCAGAAAATGTTTGTGCAGTGGATGACACAGCATCTGAGAGCAGCTCATCTTTGCAAGATCAGGATCCCTATGATGCTGAGCATTCTGGGTATCTAACACCTAAAGGAGCTCTGCCAACTAAAAGTCCCAAGTCTGCCTCAAACATGAGATATAAACCATCAGGCTATCTTAAAGTAAAAGGGGAGATAGAAAACCCTGTCATAACTGCTGTTAAGAAGCAATTAGGAAGAAATTACCAAGAAGATGGTCCGCTACTTGGTATAGACTTTGATCCGCTTCCTCCAGGTGCATTTGAAAGTAAAATCGTGGATCTATTTCATGGTAGGTTGCGCCATACACATTCTGTTGTCACAGTCACTAGACCCTTAATTTTATTGGCTTTGCAATATTAATATGGTGCTTATTTCTGGACCATTGAAGTTTTTCCTTAGGTTGAAGGAAACCACCAAAGCTATGGCTTTGTTGGAAACATATAAATACCTACTTCCACCAAAATCATGGTTTTGGCGATTTCTAATGTGAAACCAAACATGCTCAAAATGTTTCTAACAAAATTGCATCCTAGTCGTATTTCATCTCGAGGAATAAGGTCCCCAAGATAGGATGCATTGAAATTTCTTTGTTTATGCTTCCTAAATAAGAATTCATATTTTCTTCCGTAAAAAATGCCCAAAAAGGAACATTTCTTGCTGAATATGAGGGAGTTGTTGCTTTACTCTGTAATCTTGGGGAACTTATTCCTGGATCTGGATGGTGGATGCAGTGTTTTAAGGTTTCTAACATGTGGCACTGGCAATCTCATGACAATGCATGAATGCTATATGCTTTTTGTATGCTGCTTGCCAGGAAATTTGCTGTTTCTTTCTGGTTTATTTAAATTTAGATCTTATTTTAAACTGCTTCAATAATTGTAAGAATAGATTGTGAATATTATTTCTAATCTTGTGTATTTTATGGCAGAAACATACTACATGGCAAATCGTGGTCTTCACTCTCCTGAAATTTCTGCTGTGAAAAGGCAACCCAGTCTTTCTGCTGTAAGTAGAACTTTCTAATGCATTCCTTTGTTTATTGATATGCCTATGTAAACAGTCTGTTTACGTTATACAATCAAGTGGATTGGTAGATATCTAAACATGCCGTGTGGTTATTCAGAGTGTTTTCATAATCAAAATCACAAGCTTTTTTCTCTCTTCAATGAATCTACCTTAAATTGCATGATTTGGCTTCTCTTTGTTTCCAAACCTAATATCTTGTTAAGGATTCCAGTAGACTAAAATCCCTTTCTCCCTTTTGAGGTTGAGATGACCTATAGTTTCACCTATTTTGACCAACATACCCATCTAACTGTTATTTATATAATATAATACGTACTGAGTATTTTTTTTTTTATTTACCAATATAGAATAATTCAATTTTCTGCATCTTGGAAAGCTAATTCTATAATTTTGAACACAATAAGTAAAATGAATTAAATTAAAAAAGTTTACAAGTTAATTTCCTACGAGACATATTTTTAATAAAAGAAATTGATAATGTTCTTGAGGCTATTTTGGTTAAAATCTAGCTTCAGGCCTTCAGGGGATTTTGTGTGTGTGTGTGTGTGTGTGTGTGTGTGTTATGTGGCTTAGAAGCCTCGATTGTCTTCACAAGTACTTGTAGTAATTTCATACTTGAGCCTTCTTAATCCTGCTGTCTCATCATTTGATTGATGCTGGGCTCCATACAATTGATCTTGCGTTCATTATCATAATTACAGTGATAGAGCAATAATGATATCTCTTGCCTCTTCTTTACTGTTCCTTGTGTATTTGCAGAGATATGATTTGTATAATACCAATTTCAATCCCCAAGATTCACACATGGAAGGAGCAGACCTCTCTGATTTCCAGGATAAGAAATCTCGCCAGCTTTCAAAGCAAAGGCCACCTTTGTACAGTCATACCTTTCGATTTCCTAACAGAAATTCTCTGGATTTGTACGAACGCTCTGTTGGAGAAGCAACTGCATATAATAGCAAAGAGAATCATAGAGTTGGCATCAAGCTTGGCCTTGAAGGGTTGAAATCTGATTCTGCAAGTTACCATAGTGATCACTATGATGGTAAACTTGCAGCAAACCCAAAAGACTCACTGTTGCATGGCTATGATAATGTCAATTCAAAGAATGTACTCAGTGAACATGTAACACTTAAGCCTTCAAGCTTGATCAGGAATCCTTATGTTTCTATGGATACTAAGGATAGAGGAGGCCTATCCAGTAGGATGATAAAGGTATACTTTCATGCCATATGTACACTATGCATTTATTTCTTGAATGTTAGAACAGGGTTATAATTTTTTTTTTTTTAAATTATACATGAGCAGGAAAAGAAGTCTAGTGAAAAAATAAAGGCAAGAAAACAATGTGATAATCCAAATGGACTAAGGATGCTTTCGCATGAGGTTTGTGCATGTTTAAGCCATCCTTTCGTCATGTTTCAATTTTTCCATTGACATCATATGTTCCAATGTTGTTTTGCCTTGCCATTTGACCTTCGTAATTAGTTTTCTTTTATGGAGATCATAGGCTGCAAAACGTCGTGTTGATCCACCTCAACAATACAATGTTAAAGAAGAATTTGTTGCCGAGATGCAACTGCATAAAAGTCAGAGGTCGGTATTTTTTTCTCTTGTAACGCTATTGTTTATATCTGTGTTTCCTCTTTCTTGTGCGCCTTTTTGATTGATAATTTTCTTGGTATATCGGCTAGCACCTAGCAGCATTTATTTTCATGATGGAGCTTGAGCTTGTAATGTTCATGGGGGAAAGAACAAGAACTGTCCATTTGATTTAACTGTTTCCATGTCTTACAATCTGGTTATTATCAAGTTTTATCAATATTTATATGCAGACGGGTTTTTTTGAGGAGTCGATGATGTGATGCTGAGTCATTCAAAATGTTTGTGCCTGTTTGTAAATCAATCAATATCATCATCAATATGTGGATATATTAATATATAGAATTTAAAATACTGAGCAAGTCGCATTGTTTATAAGTCATAATATAGTGCAATTCATTCCTTAAATTTAGTGCAATGCATATAGGAGCCCTACCTAGTGATAACAAATACTTGAAAGAATTTCATCCAAGTTCTGTTCTCGGTTCATTTTCCCTAGAAAAGTTTCATCTGTAATGGTATCAGATGCAACACCTTTCTAACAGTAACAGCTTCACGGTGCAGATCTGCCATGGAGGTGTCATCTAGCTTCAGTGAGGATGAAACTGCCAATCTCAGCTCGTCTCTCGATGAAGCAATCGGTTGCCATTAACCGGTAGATAGGGTTTTTTGAGTGGGAGGTTTTTCTATGTCATGCCATGGATATGTACAGTGAGTGAGCTGAGAAGCACTCTTTGTAGCCAGCGAGAGCAGTCACATTGAAGTATTGTATCTGTGTGATGTTTCTGGTAAGGGCCTGTTTGCCATTGTACAAAAAGAACAAAGCCCGCCCTTATTTAAGTGATGATGTAAATCTCTTAATCTGAAGTTGATTGTGCTAGGAGGTTTTGAAATGCATCTTAGTTTGGTTCCATTTTGATCCTTGATTGAAGCAGCTAGCTCTCTCCATCTTCTGATTTCTTGGTTAAAATAATTCCCCCTCAGGTTGATATTATTCATTGTTTCATGTGAAAAATCATATTTTTAGGGGAGGGAAAAAATGTTGTTTTGGTCTTTGACAAGTAGTTTTCAAGTGACTATTTTACACATATATACCATTCCCATTAAAAATTAACTCATTAAATTTGCTGTGTTAATTAGCATTCTGTCAAATTTACCCCTTTTTTTGGTAGGGAAACAAAAAGAAAGGACAACACCCATTTTAATAATTGAGATTGAATTGAACAAGATAATTGTTGGTTAATTATTATTTGTTAGGATCTTTTAAATTGATCAACTCTATATAAAATTCCTAATTGGTAACATTATTTTAGTAGTCATGAGGACAAATGCTATTCATTATTTTGATTTCATGTGATGCGCAAGGTTCAGATGATAAAAGTGTCTAAATGCATTGATCTAGACAAAGGCTCTTCAAACCATATGAATGGTTTTTGTTCTTTTTAATATTGTACAAAGTTGTAAGTTTTATTATTGATATTCTATGAGAAGAGTGGCTCATTGTAGATTTTCATTTTTATACAACTATCTTATGCATGGCATTACCAGGTCAGATTTAAACACCATTAAATCAAGATAAAAATAACTTCCAATGCAATTTTTTTCCTAACCAAAGTTTTTTATATGACTATCTAATTATGTCATATTCAAGTATTGTTGAGCTCAATTAGGGGTATCTCTGTTAAAAATGTTTTCTGCATTTAATAAGTGCCTCACATGGCACAATGACACTCGTTCGCTTGAATTGAACAATTGTCAAAGATTTTGTTACATAATATTCAAAAACTATTTATCCCTAAATTTTTTTGGAGAGCAACACACATGATAAGTGTTTGGATTGTGATGATTGTTTTGAATTTTTGAAAGAAAATTTATTTTGATAATTTTTAAATATTGATTAAATCCTATAACTATAATTAAGACGCTCATTGAATAAGTAAACTTAGGTCACTTTTTAAATTTAAATTTCAAACTCAATCTCATTCATAAGTGGTCATAGTTTCTTTTACTAGGACCCAACGCTTGCTAGTTTTTCCTAACGAAAGGTAGTCATAGATTTTGTCGTAGAAATTGATGATTAGGGGCATTTGGGCTATAAAGATAGATCAAAATCTCATCTAACACTGTGTAAAGTTTGAGTAGAGTAGAAGGACCACTTGTTTCTGGAGAAATGAGGGAGGGGACCATAATAATACTACATGAGTCAGTGTAGGTTTTGTGGCCAACCCTAATTAGCTTTTATATAAAGTGTCATACCCTGTGGACATTGATGTTGGTCTCCATCACTCACCATCGTTGGAAAGACACACTGCCCTTGTTCAGGGCATCATGCAGCCTACCTTGTGACTTGTCATCATAATCAAAATATCAATTTTATTTTGAATTTATAATATAAACTAATTAAGGGTCAATTATTGAGGCCTTCCTTGAATTTTTATTAAAATTATTTGGACTTGCAGTTTAAATCCAATATATATATATATATATATAGAAACCTCTATTACAAATTAAAAAAATATATTTTCATGAGTTTTCCAAAACTCTATATATATTGTATTTTCAAGGCTTATATAAATATACCCTTAAAATAAAGAAAAAAATTCTATAAATTTGGTCTAAATTTTTCTAAAATTATATATGTATCCCTATATTTTTAAGAGAAATTTACATATATTTTGAAAATAGAGAAAATTAGCAAAAGCATATGTAAGTTCATGTATTGAACAAAACTTAAGAAAACCTTATATACTTTATTTTTTTCCCTAGGAAAGATTTAAATACATTTTAAAAATAGAAAGGAGTTTGTGTAATTTTAGTGGAATTTCAATCAAAAACTTGGAAGTCAAGAGATTCCATGATCAAACTCTCATGTGGTTAAGGCCAAAAAAATAAAACATAAAAAAATTTGCATGTGGGGTGTGTTGTGTGGGGTCCCGTTCTCTGTAAAGAAGGGTTAAATAGGATAGGAAAAAACTTGAAAGGTAGCAAAAATTTGGAGGTAGTATGTGTAATAAATAAATAAATAAATATGTTTGTGGGCGCAGGCACTAGGAATGGACTGCAAAAAATAAATAGGTAAGCACTTGTTTGGTTATCACTTTTGAAGTATTAAAAGTCCTTTTAAAAAGTATTTTCTTCATTTGGATAAGTTTGGTTAACATGTTTTAAAACCAAAACGCATTTGCAAAAGCAAATTTTTCTTCCTTCCCAAAATTAAGTTTTACTTTTGGCAAATTAACTTTTATAACAAAATATCCTTTTAAAAATCAAACAGGTCGTAAAACCAATTATGGTGACAACCAAAATAAGTTGAAAATAGATTTTCTTTTAATTAACAACCCTTCATGTTTAGCTTAAGGTTCTGTCAAAAATTATCTCACGTAGTTTAATCAAAATCATTTTTTATTATTCTTAAATAAACGGCTTCTCTGTTAAAACACTTTTGGTAAGTAGAGGCATTCGCGAGCAAATATTTTTATTGTTAGGCTAAAAATTTAATCCTCTAATTTTATATAAATTTTAAATTTTATATTTTACAGTTTAGTCATTTAACTCTAACATTGTTAGTTTTAACTAATTATTTTTTATGTCAATTATTATTATTTAAAAAAATTAAAATTAATATAACAACGTCTAAGAATATTTTATAAATATTTAAAAATTTAATGTAAAAATTAGTTGAGATAAAATTAATAATATTAAAATTAAATGACTAGAAAGATAATTTATAAAATTAAAAGATAAAAATAAAAATTTATATAAAATTAAAAAACTAAATATATATTTTAACTTTATTGTTAATAACATGAGTGATGTAAGCAATTGAAATAGGTCTTCGTTGGCAACGCCAACCTTTTCACCTCAAATCTGGTTAAGTGTTAAACAGTTTTTATTTCTTTTTTTTTGTGGCATTATTATTTTATTTTTATTAATATATATTTGATTTACTTTCAAAATAATAAAATAATAATAATAAAATCTCACTGAAATATATAAATAATAATTAAATTTTTTAAAATGTCATAATTTATTTAAAATATTTAGGTACTTTTTTGACGTTTATAATTTTAGGTTTAATGATTAAATTACTTTCTATTTAAAATAAAAAAAAGTAACAAGTTTATTTGAGAAGTTGTGATTTCTTATTCATTTCTTACGATTTACAGAATAAAAGTTGTGATTACTTAAACAAAAGTTATAACTAATTATTTTAACAACTTGGATTTCATTGATAAAAGAAATTTCATGTAAAAAATTATAATTTCTTGTTTAATTTTTGCAATTCATATAATAAAAATTGTGATTGATTATTTTCAGAACTTAGGCTTCAATGATAAAAAAAATTTCATGAGAAAAATTATGATTTCTTGTTCAATTTTTATAATTTATAAAATTAAGTTTTGATTACTTAAACAAAAGTGATTGTGATTAGTTATTTTTAAAACTTATTTATTAATCAAAAAATAAATTTCATATAATAAATTGTGAGTTTTTATTCAATTTTTGTGATTCACATAATAAAAATTATAATTATAAAAATAAAGTCAGATCTATTATTTTTATTTTAAATAAAAGTTAACTTAGTCTTTTAATTTAAAATTATTAATGTTAAAAAAGTATATCAAGATTTTAGAATAATTATGATATTTTGAGAAATTTGATTATAATTTACTATATTTAAGTGAGATTTTTTATTATCAATCTTCCAAAAAGAGATCGAGAGAGGTATGAATAGAATATTAGAATTCAGGGGAAAAAGTCAAAAAAGATAGAGGGGAAGGCGACATTTCAGGAGACAGCTTAGAGCGTGTGTTGGGAAATTTTTGCATGCATAAGCCTAAAAATTGATATAATATATTTATACAATTTTTTAATTTATTTATATTTAGGATTTCTATAAAGGTAAAAAATTTTTTTCATAAAAAAAAAGAAAAACGAAAAGAGAAAAAGAAAGCCTCCTTCAATTCACGTGGAAATTAAATTGAGGAGAATAATATTAAAATCTCAAAACTTGAAATTTATTACAGTTAAATTTTTGACAAATTTTTTTAAAAAGTTAGTTCTAAATATTAATTTAAATAATTATAATTCAAAATTTCTAACTATAAATAAAATATTTAAATTTTAAATAAAGCTTTTAATTTGAAATTGTTTAAATGTTATAAATTTCTGTTTGAAATTTCTATTTGCAACTTATTTTTTAGAAAATTTTATTGGGGATTCAAATGTTATAAATTTCAAAATTTGAGACTTTTTTTATCATTCTTCCATTAAATTTGGAGGTGTTAGAGTCACACAAGTAACAACGTATTGAAGCATGTAGTGGGGATGGCTACATTTTTGGGAATTGAGATTCACTTTATTAATGACATGTAGTTTTCTAATGCCATATTTGATACTATCACTTTGGTCTCTCGTACATCAATCTCATGAGATAAGGATGCATCAAAGCACTCCTTGTCACTTTCTTCTATGGAAAATAACCCTTTTGCTTCCTTCCAATTCATCTTGTTCCTGTTGCTGGCTATGATAACACAAAGATCAACATACTGGTCCTACTGATATCATCTAAGTTTAGTGGAAGGTATGTGATATCTCTTTAACAAGCTCAATATTTAAACCTATAAATAAAAAACACGACGCCAAAAGAGCTATATTGCTTTTTAATCTAATAACTAATATTGGATATAAGATAATTGTAAAAAAAATTGATATTAATCATATTTTTGTTATTAGTGTAATTTTTATTATGTATATAATTCATTTATTTTTTATTTTGTTTTGTTTTAATTTATGTCATATTTGATACAAAGAGCACTGATGTGACTTGCTAATTCTTTGAAGACTCAAGTATATAGTTTCGAGATATGTCCGGAGCTTTGCTCTTAGTTCGGTGTTATGATGTCTTGTTTG